AATAAGTTTGAGATATCAATTCAGAATGATACCTTTGTTTCGACATGGTTAGTTACCGTTTGAAACATTTAGTCTCAATAATGGACAGACAATAATACAGGCTGTTTGCGGTATTTTAGAAACTTATGGTCCTAAGATTAGAGAAATCTCAGTTTATATACACCATGCAACAGGATTGAAGCAGCTGTGAGACAATTTCTAGATTAAATTGTATTTAAACAATATCTTGCCATTAGTGTAAATTCCTAATACACTTTTTAAAATGTTTGCTTTTTCCTTAATAAAACGAATTACGCCTTTGATTATGTAAAAGTAATCTCTTCATAAATAAATCCCGTCGACAAAATTTGAGATTAATATGCTATTACATAATCCTTTTTTACAGAAAGTTTTACCTAATATGATTTCACATTCCCCGTGCATTCAACAATTCAGTGTACTCAATAATTTTGAGATACATGTGTATTCTAACTGATGGATAGATTAATATGAAGCCTAACTACCGCAAATTTGAGAACCAATACTGTGATTTACTTTATGTCCATTTCTGTTCATTATTAACCCAGTTTATCAAAGATAATTTTTGCTACCACCAGCATTTCTTAATACATGAGATAAGTGTAAATATATCAGTTGATTAGATTGGAAAAATAGTTTTCTAGTATTAAGATACGTCAGTCAATTTATTGCTGAACACCAGTATTAACCACATAATTTTTAAATCATATCACATCGTTAAGTTCAAATCATTCACCGACCACTTGTTCAAGTTTAAATATAATTGTTTGGCATAAAATTCGGCACTGACTTAAAAACTTGTCTAGGAAGACTAAAACTGCATGAAATGAACGTGGATTTTTTTAAGCGATTATATACAGTTCAAACTATTCCATAAATAATCTTGATAGACACAGTCTATTTATAATGTGGATCTTCTGATTACTCTAAAAACGATGGATTTATTAGCTAACACAAATGTGAGAAAGTTCAGGAAGGTATAGAAAGCTAAAAAGCTACTGATAGACACTAACGAAATCCGTTAGATCTAAATAAAGAAGAAATTTCTCTTTGTGTATACCTCATTTTGTTTGATTGCTGTGTTTACGGATTATGGCGGTATAATACAACTTTTCTAACATTTTATTTAAAGTTATGTTTGTATACATTTTGATATAGTTTTGTATTATATATATGTGAATACTTAATAACTTATCTACTCATTACCTGTACTCAGCGTTACCCATACTACAAAAGTAATCGGCAAATATCTGAAAGCCACTGTTTCAAGTTGAAACTGTTCTTCCAAGAATAATAACAGGTTTCACAATGACTCAGTAAAATTTATCTTATCAATGAAATCTATGATTAAATAAGACGAACTTACTTCCATTTTCAAGGATCATTTATTTAAATGAGGTATGGTTAATTCAAATAATATTTAGAATAGTTTATGCATTCAATTAATCAGCACAGAGATACAAATGCTCAGTTAGCTAATGGTGCTAGTATTTTATAATTTACGAAATATTGATTAAATAAGAAATCATTCACTTAGAAAATAACTTTCAAAATACACAACATCAATGAACCTGCTGATAGCTTACTTTAATAAGGTTTGTGAAATTTAAAATCTTAAGCAATGTCTTTAAACGATATTGAAAGCAAACAGATTCTCGTTTTTGACATTCTATGAAGACCATTCTGGTCCATGAAATGATTAAAATCGGAAATAATTACTACTAAATTCTAAATCAGTGGTCTAAACCCAATACACCTTCCATGAGATTTGAGGGTCCCTGATTGTATATTCAAAAGCAAGAGGATTTGGAAACCAAGATGAAACATTTTCCTTGTGTTTCTTGAATGCAAATGATTCTACAGCTAATGTAAATCCATGACGAATAAACACTTTTCATATAATCATTTAAACTGACCAAGTGAATGAATTTCTTCTAATTTATACAGTAGGGTTTTACTTCTGTAATATTTTTAAAATTCTATCTGTATTCACAGAACAATAATAGTATTTTCTCATGATCATAACCTAAAATTCACTTTTAATTTGTTTGTCCATCTGCTTTAACAATATACAACTTCTTATACATAAATTATGATTGATAAACAATTAATAAGAAATAATTAGTCCTTAACTAGCTGACAGATAACTAAGTGACTAAACTGTTTTTACGGAAGCATCTAAACAAATTCTCATCTTATTTATATGTCATGTGAAAATCATTACCTCACCTGTTAGTTTCCACGCGTTTTTTTTAATAAAAAAAAAGAAACCTGAAAACAAGATCGTTTTTTAATTGTTAAATATACTCTATTGTTATGTTAAATACGAGTAGATGATGAACTTATGAACTATATTATTATAATTAATTGTTATGGTGACAGACAGAAGATAATATGTGTCAAGGATTTACTAAAAAATATAATAAAAGATGATCTATGCTGAAAATTGAAACATTAAGGGTAAGGCTAAAATATTTGATGGAGTTTAGATTAAGTCCTATAGAAGATTGTATAAAATTAGTTAGTGTAATGTTTGTCTTTGAGTATAACGTTTTAAATAAGTCTATTTAATGAAGTTCATGAGAACTTTGGGAAAATACTTTCAAGAAATTTGATTAAATACTTTTCACATTTATATACCGTTTATAAATGCATAATGGTGTGGTTTATTCATGTAGGTATTCTACGTTAAATATTTAATTTCTAATTTAATAATGATTGATTTGAGAATATTCATGAATATGTATTATGTACATTGAAGTTTTGGGCGTTCGTTTAAGATTCATTATTCGAAGTTTCAGGTATTTTGCAGTACTGAAGCTTTGCTTTTGAGAACTAGACCCTACTGACACTATCGGTTCATTTTTAAGAACTCTATCATATGATTAAAATAACCTTCAAAGTTATACATAGAGTTATTGGTTCATAGCATGGTACATATAAATTAACTAGTAAGACAATTCCTCAAGAAAGATGAAGTAAATAAATTGGATCAGAGTACAGCTTAGTAACTCATGTAACACTAGATGATATTTGTATGGTAATTACTTATAAAGATGATCTATAAACAGACATTACAAGCTCATATGAAGAAATGGAAAGCGGAGAGTTACAAGATCAGAATTAGTTGAATGAGAAATAATCTCTATTTCATTTGGAAATTATCAAAAGGGCCATATAGGTAATTAACTTCTTCCGTGGCTACGGTTAGTCACCGATATACTAATGCAGCTATATAGTTAATTAAACGATAAAGAGAAAAACGAAATTATAGAATACTATATCAATGAAGATTTGAAAGTGGATAAAACATGAAAGTCACTGCATCACTATGATAGATATACAATATAAATGTAGATAATTACCTCATGTGTTATTGATGTAGTTTATTAAACGTCACACAAAACATTCTTTAAAGAAAAAGCAACTTTTAGTTTATCTGTCAAATACTAACCTGTTAAGTTAATGAACCATCATAGATTGATACTGCATAGAAGCACATCATTTTTCTCAAATGAACACCAGTGACCTTATAAACTTCACAATTCAAACGTTAAATTTATAATTTATTCTTGTTTTCTTTTAAAGACAAATATATTGTATGCTACAACATAGAATTCGAATATCACTATCAATATAATAGAATCAATCAATTGAATTGAATTAAATTACCACATGAAGAAAAAAAGAAAGGAAATGAACCGGATCACTGATCGCCCAGAGGTATTTTCAAGCAAACAAAGAAACATATAGAGAAAATAATAATAATAATAAAACGAGAAGTAAAAATAAAAACTTGACTCAGTTAATCGCTATTATAGAATCAAGAATTTTGAAGAAAAAAGTAAAGGCATAAGGTGGATAAGAAAGGATAACAAAAATCGTCATAATCGATTTTTTCCTAAAAGTGTAATAGATCACAAATTGGGTTTATTTAACCATTAATCAATCAGAAGACAATAGTTCTATATACCCAAGAGGTTTATTAATAACATTGTTATAGTGTTTATAGGTTTGTAATCAGTAATGAAATATGAAATAATTAATAATTCTATCCCAGCATTTTGAAGTTTTCGTCGGATATTCTATTGAATGCAAGGAGTTCAAGGTAAGTTCGAAAGGAATTTGTAAATGTGTATCTCACGAAATAAGACAGCAATATGTTCGTTGTATAATTTGATTACGTTGTACATTTTATGTTTTTCTTACAGAAATCAAATTAGTAGTAGTAACTCAACATGACATGAAGTGTACAATGGAATTGTTTCACATAGATTAATGGTTACTTTGTAATCAGATCGACATAGTTTTTCCTACTAGTTAAAGATAGACGAGTAAGCATCTCATTTTTATAAAGGCTTAAAGTTAAGCCTTTAAATACCCCCCAATGCATTATACAGGTTCGAAATACATCATTTACGTTTGGATTACGTTTATTGTGAGTAATTACGCAAAAAACGAGGAGAAAGTTTTAGTTGACCATTAGTGAATAACTGAGCTGATTACTAACTGGTGTATTTTGATGTAAACAGTCAAAAATATAATTCACCATTCATTCCCATACAGTTAATTTTTATTTCTAATCAATAATCAGTGTTGGACACTGATTGGGATTCACGTCAACGGTCAATTTATCATGTTCCGTATTGATTCAGACGGTTGACAATAGTCACAAAAAATATGATTCTTATTATTGATGATTAATAATATGCACCTTATATATGCTTGAAGTTTCCCAATGTGTAATTAAAAAAACGTTGCTTAGAAGATTGCAAAATTAATGAGTTAGAATTCCATCGAAATTTAAGAGATATATATCATTGTTACAATTATCAGGTTGTGGCTTGATCAGGATCACTGAATCAGCATTTCTCAACATTTTAATGTGATTTTTTTTATTCGTTTATTATAAAGCGGTAATTAATAAAAATAGATCTTGATTTTATACATTATATGTTTTTTCCCATTTTAATAGCTAAACAATGTATATTAGTACTCGTTTACGAATATGTGCATCTAGAAGTAGTTCTATACATCCCGATATACCACAAGATTATGGTCCTAATATTAAAGTAAGCATCGAAATATCTAGAAACGTCTACAGTTTTATGTACCTGTCTACTAAATACAACTGATCTTCTTGAACAGAAATGAATAATTGAACTTATACACTATAATTTTTTGTACTTTGTATGTTGTTGTAATAAGATATCCACTGTCTGTGATGGTATAATTTTGAAAGAGCCTAATAAAATGATTATAAATGTTAAACATACTTAGTTTTATGTGATTACACACCTTTCGTCCTGATGACATGACATACTAAAACAAATGACCCGGTTGTTGTAAAACCAGTATATAGCACTATAAGTAAATTGACGAAAATGGTTTGATTCTGTAATCAATAAGATTTCAGTTGGTACAAATGATATGATGCTGGATGATAAAATGTAATCAATGGATGACCGTTAGTTAGCCTGTAAATGATTTATTTTTTCCGAAAAACAACATTTATATAAACAAAATATCGAACATAATTGTAATTTGCAGTTGATTGACGCATAAGCAACTAAAAATAATGTTTGATACTTTAATAACCATCTGGTTTCCCTGTTGATACAGTATGTCACAAACGTTTAGTGTAATTTGCCAAATGATGAGTAATGATAAATTCATATAGTTGATCATAGAAAATCAATAATTTTGCATAAATTTAAAAAAAGATTACCAATTCTAGTTGAGTGTTACTTGCGGCAATGTATCCTAGATACCATTTCGGTCAATATCTCAGTTATATTTGTAATGAATTGATGAAAATCTTAATTAAATGCAAAAGCTAGTCAGTTTCCATAATCAAGCATTCAAACCATGTAGGTCATGTGATATATTTCGATAAAATACAACGGCTTCTTTATAAATCTAATTTTTTTATGATTTGAATGTCTGAAATGAATTTTTGCGAGAAATTAATCATGGATGCGCACTGCTGAAAAGTTCCATACTAGGACGAAACGGCCGTTCAGTGCTTCCAGGTTTTCCATGGTGATTTAGCTTAGATTAAATTACTAAAAATCTCCACAAAACCCCCTTTTGATATTATGTTTGTTTTGGATGAATGCTTAAATTTATATTGTTTGATTAAAGATCAGTTTGATCTTAGACACTCCATAACGTCACATAATCTCCTTAAAACCTTAGAAATTACGTGTTGATAAAGAATTAAGGAAAACAAACAAATTACCTTAGAAAGAAATATATCTTAATTGCAAAACTAAACTTTATACAATGCTTCTTATGAATGAGGTTTCGTATATGTCTGCCTATTCTTCATATTGATTATAAATAACTGACTTTGATCAAATTGCAAATGAATTGAATATAAAAAAATATATAATTTCTATTATTTAGTGTTTAAAGTTCTCTTCTTAAACAGCAAGTCTAAAAATACTGATTAGTCACCAAGTTACAAAGTATATAAACATTTTGAATTCTGTAATAGAGATTAAGGTTTAGTCACAATTGATTGATCATTGGGTGGCGATCAATGTCATGCGTGTCTAGTCCTTATTAGTGCAGATTGAATTCTATCGATCATGCTGCAATGTAGCCACCAGTCTAGGTGACTAGACACTGAGGGCACTATACATTGAGATTAGATGGTGGTTGGAGTTAGTCGACAGGAAACCTTGGACCCGGGTTTCGTGCTACTTGGCACTCGTCAGGATTACATCTCAGTCCTACAGGAGATCAGCCGCGGCTCGGATATCTCAGTGGTAACGTCTCTGACTGTGAAGCTGGATGACACGAGATCGAATCCGCCAGGGAGCACCAGTTCCCTCAAGATTACAGGTACACCTTGCTGACGAGTGCCAAGTAGTACGAAACCCGGATCCAGGGTTTCCTGTTGACTACCTCTAACCACCATCTAATCTCAATATTAAGGTTTAATATTTTATTATGTAATCCACCTAGACATTATCCTAATTTAGTCTTTATTATAATCCCAAAAAAATATTTCGTATTTTACTCTTGACTTATCATTCATTATTCTAATTCTTTTGAATTTAATTAAGAAATTAGAAATCTGGAATCATCTTGAAAATGAAATTACTTCAGGATATTATGTAGTTTCAACATTAGACTTTCAATCCTCCTTTCTAATTGTAGGACACTTATCACATTCAATATTGACAACCAAAGTTCACTTTTTAAAAAAATTCTGATAGTTTATAAAGTATTCGTTAACTAAATAAACACTAATATTCAAAATGTATTCTGCCTTTTTTATAAAAGAATTTTGACAACTACATTTAGTTTTATTTTGTATATTCAATTACTGATTTGTGTATCTCAATGTCCAAGGAGAGTTATATATTATTCTTGTATGTTTATGAAGAAAACACATTTAACTTAAATACCAGTAAATCCTTAGGTAAGTTTATCTATGATAGATTAACTGTTTACTTCTATAGAGAGACTATAACAGAAATATGTGACGAAATTAATACAATATTCAATATATGAAATTATGTTAATTAAATGTCTCATTTAAATTAACTAATAATCGATAGGATTTTCAACATTTATAAATAAAAGGATTATATCGTTCTAAAATTGGACATTAAGATGAAAACCTCTTTATCTGCTTAATTCAGATAAAGTGATGATTAACACAATCTATTTAAAAAAAAACAGAATAAGGCTAAATCAACTGACAATCAGTATAGGGTTGTGAAGATTGTTGGGCTTAGATTGAGATCATCAATAGATCAATGTTAAACCATCATTGAAAACTTGAAAGCACTGGAGGTCCATTTCGTCTTAGTGTGGAGCTTCTCATCAATGCACATCTTTGATCCCGGACGTGAGACTCAAACCCAGGACCTTCGGTCTCACTTGTAAATGCTTAACCTCTACACCACTGGTCCGGCATCCAATGGTGTTAATGTGTAATTTCAACCAACCCGCCATATTGCGCGACCATTCTCCATTGTATTCAGTGAGTAACTACTTAACAACAGACACAATTGAACTCTACTGGTTACGGCTGGGAAGTCCCATACTAGGATGAAACGGCCGTCCAGTGCTTCCAGGTTTTCAATGGTGGTCTAGTATTGATCTATTTATGATATCAACCTAAACTTTACTGACTGTATTAAGAAAATTCTTGAACTTATTAGCAGTATCGTCTCTGATATGAATGTTTACGACATCCTGATGTTATTAAAATTGTCCGCCAGCAATATTATAAGGTTATGTGTTATCTTCATATTAGTATTGTATTGAATGTTACTTTTGTTGACAGATATAAGTATTATGTGTTAACAATAGGAAGTGGAATGAATTTATTTCAGCAGGAAATTGAAAATATCGAATTGAAGAGAATAGGAATATAAACAGAGAGTAATTGTAATGACAATACGAATGAAGGAATAATCAATTTTGTGAAAGACAAATGATGGAAGATATACAAATAATGTACTGAATGTATGGTTCTCATATTTCTGAAAAACACTCTGTAATTTTGTAATAAATAAAAAATTGGTTTCACCTACTTGAGACTTTGTACACCACAGTATTACTAAATTTTAATTCAGAAAACTTATATTCATTTCATAAATTTAATGATAGACAAATTATTGGAAATAGTCTTTTACAGTTCCAAAATCAACTGTGATACCTTTCATATACCTATTAGTTCCATTTCTTTAATTTCCTAGCTTTAAGTAAACGACCAATAACCTTCATAAACTCTTGCATTTAGGAATTTTCCCAAATGTTCAATCGATAATTCAAAGATTCCCGACGAAAAAATTAATAATATAGAAACCGAAATAATAAAAAAAACTTTATTTTTGTAGCCTTAAATCCAAACAAGAAAAGTTACATCATTATTATTTGAAATAACTGATGTTTGCAACAGTTTAAAATTTATAATAAAACCGTTATAAGATACAACAAACAAATAATTGGATGAATATAGAAGAAGAAACAAAATGTTGTTTTCCTATGATCCATTCTAATCATAATAATTCTGTTTACATAATTGTTCTTTTATTTATTCATCTATTCAAGTATACAAAAGAAGAAAAAGAAAGATATTGTTTTGTTGTTATTCAACAATTATTTCAATATTTGATGCAATTCATTGAATTATGTTACTTTATTGAATATTGATGAATGACTTTTATGCCAAGAAATGTGTGTAGGTTAAAGATATTTCCTTTGTTTGTTTGTTTGCTTTTTTTCATTATTTTGAAAAAGAAAACTCACCTGAAATCATCTGTTAACAAAATTTTTTAAGAATATAAAATCGGTATTTTATGGAAAGGAATTAAGACGACGGACCACGGGTGAACTCGAGGAAGCTGTAAGGGGCTCAGAAGAAGCCAAAGATATCCCATCCCCGCCAGTTGTAATAATTTGTCGTTTGAATGCTTATTGTCTTGGCTCCTTCAATACTACATTTTGTATCTGGTCGTCGCTGATCGTTATGTCGGAAACTCTTATCATTTATACTCGAAACGAAGGACTTCTGCAATTCCCACGGCATAAAATTAAGAACATAAAGACTGGTATAAGTGAAGATTTATTAGCACCAAAACACGAAGGCTACGACGACGACGATTCTAGTAGAAAATACACTCATTTATATATTGATTAGTACACCCATTTTGAGTAATAATTAGGATGAAATCACATATATGGAAAATACTTAGAGTTATAACAAATCCCATACTGAGCATAGTTTATGTCAATGGAATAGAAGAATATCGTATATTATACAGAATAAAATATCATACGAGTCATCATTACGTTGAATCAAAATGGAAATAATCTTGAAGAAAACTCATAATGAGTAAATCAATCGAAAATTGACTTTTCTTTCCATCATATCAGAAATATAATTAGTGAGAAGTGTTTTATATCTTAGATATTGTATAGAAATGATCGTTTTATGAAACTGTAATCGATATAGTAGTTCTTAATTTTTTTTCTCTTTGAAGTAATAGACGGTTATGTCCCTATATGTAATGACATTTATGAAAAAAGAAAAGAAAAAATGGTGTACATTATTTATCTCTCGAATAAAAAAAAATAAGAAAACCACTAATATTAGTAGAACGTGACATTTGTGTTTTCTGTGAGGTAAAAACTAGTCATTACCAATGGATAATAGTAAGCTTAGCTACCTTTTAATGTTAACCATTAATAAATTTCATGAATGGTTTATGAATGTTTGAAGCTTCATAAGGTTACATTTGATCCAATTTATGCATTAGTTTTATAATGAGGATTAGATCATGATTTATAATGATTGAACTAAATATATGCGAGAAATATTTAATTACATATAAATAAAATTAAGTAGTTTTCAACTTATGACGAGCATAAAGTTGACCGTCTACTGTTTTTGTGTCATATTAACTTGTAGGTTTATGCTATTGACAAGTCTCAATATGGAATGATAAGCTATTCAGTTATGCTGACTTTAATTTTTTCTCAGTTAACGTCAGTTTTCGATGTAAATAATTCTCAGTTTATTAAATATGTATATCACTTAAAGAATCTTTTTAAATGTATATGATGAATATTTCCTATTTAAAATGACTTTTTACAATGCATTAGCCTACGTTTTTTAAAAAACACTTATGGACAAGTTGAGTTTTATAGGCTAACACTTGTTCTCATCAATTACATTTTATGGCATGCAACTTTGAACACTTACCACTCATAAGAAATTAAGTAGTGAATTTGTTGTGACAGATTAAAATACCAAGTGTTTTTGCAAAACTATAATTTATATCTAATTAAACTACAGAGTACACAATTGCTAAGTGCATCTAAGTACAATGAGTCTCATATTTTTTGTCACAAATATATACTTTTTAACGTGTGACAATCACTTTTGTTACGACTGCAAAACGTCTATTTGAAAATTAATTCATAAGTTTTAACTTATACTTGACTGGATAAAAATCCATTCAAAATTAAATAAAATAGTTTCACGTATTTCATGAGTTTGTGGAAGTTACTGTTTAGAATAAATCAAAAAGTGTTGAGCTGGAGTCTTTCAATTATGTTCCGTTGAAACTGAAGTAACTTCTTATGTGAACATTTTCAACAGATAAATCACTTTATTGTTTAATTGATTCTGTGCACTTTCATATGGTTGATCGTTTCAATAATTCATTAGTAACGACCGTTTTCTATGCAGGTGTACATTAGAGTACATACATATCTTCCTGCTTACTAGCATTTTGTGCGTGGTCTATTTTTATATGTAAGATAGTTCACAAGTAAATAGTGTAAGTTGGGTGTGATAGTATTCTTCGTGTTGCAACATTTGTCGGCTGCCTGTATAAACGAATGTCTGAAATGAAACTTTCGGGCATATTTCATACTTGGCCTTTATAATATCTTTTGTATAATAGGTTTATTCTAGGCATGGTATAAGAAATTAATAAGAGAATTAAAGTTCATCGTCATTGTCAAGAATGAAATCGACTTGCTATTGTAAAACTATTCTTGTAATATATGTAACCAGACACTTAATAAATAAATGAACTCGAGTAAGATATCATTTAGCTATCGTAAAAAAACAACTAACAAATAATGAACACTACTTCAACTTCGGTTATATTTAAGTCTTTCTTATATGATTCAAACATGTTTAGGGGCCCTTTGTTCTCGAATCCCATTTTAGATTGTATGGATGTTTGCTATCGCTGATTCTCGTATATCATCGTCGACTTAAGTCACGTTAGTCCATAACGGAATTAAATAAGTCAATTAACGAGAATGGCATTTGAATACATATATTTTGTATGTAAAGTGAATGCGATAGAACAAAACGAAATGACGCGCTGGGAAGATGGCTGGGAAGCCAACACCAATTCAAGCCGAACATTACTCAATATTTATAGGCAAACAAAATGAACTACAGACATGTGATGAGTCATCGGACATGAAGTGTACAAACATGTACGCTCATGTGAAAACAGTCAAGGCTAATAAGCGAATAATTAACAAGGTCAAAACATGACTCAAGTAGAATGAATAGAATGGGATGTCCGAAAACTAGAATAAAATATATTATGAGCTAAAACTAATGACTAACACTACACATGCATCAAAATATCCAAACTGCTTAACTATTTTAAACCCATATCTTTAAGTGATTATATTAATTGTGAAACGTTTTCAGTTCAAAATTTTATTCTTCATCCAACTAACCTCATCTCATTCCAGGATTTACATTTAAATGTCATCCATTACTTGCAAGTTGTAAGTTAGTTTATTACCATTGTAATCGATCTTTCACAAACTTTCTTTAGATATCACATTGACCTGTGATCTTTTATTGATTCTTTTGAATTTATTAAGATTATAAGTCTTTCCTATATTACACTTACTTATCTTCATTGTAATGATAAGTCAGATTAATTTGCATAGGAATATAATAGTGAACTTCTATTTTAGTTTACTTTCCTTTGATAATAATTTAGAACATGCTTTAATGACAAAGAAAAGCAAAAAGAATTCATCCTATCTTACTTTAACGATAATACTATTCTCCTTTAAAAGATCAACAAAAGTGAACTATGTGTTTCATAAATGTTAACCTCTTTAATTTATTTTCTTTTTTATACAGTTTATTCAGTGAATCATCTTTTATTGTTATTTAAATGCTACATACTTTTATGTTATTAAATGTTGAAATGTCTTTTTTGATCTACCGTATAATGATGAAATTTCAACAACAACAACAAACTTCTATCTAAAGTTTGTGCTGATGATGTCCTTCAGGAAAAGCTCCACAACCAAACCATCCGCTTCAGAGAACAAAACTCCATCAAAACCATCCACCTGAGCTACAAAGCTTCTCCACCATCTCAAAATCATATGAACGGTATACGCTTCTCGTTGTTCGAAGAACAAGTGAATTTCGCCAAAAGACAGGCTTCCATTCGAGAACAACTGTATTTTCTCCACGAGTGTATTCGCCAGCATGTTCTATTAACAAGTTTAAAATACAAAAAGTGTATAAGTTTTACGTTAAAATCATTCATTTCCTGTTACTATTCACTAATTTAAGTGTGTCATTTGAAATTTCAGTTTGATAACAATAATACATTTCAATGCTCAAACAATAAATCTAGTGACTAATGGTTCAAGTCTCGCGTGGAGGGATTGTGGATTTACGCTGTTGGCGAGTTACACAATAAGACGAAACTGCCATTCAGTGCTTCCAGGTTTTTCATGGTGATCCAGTTTTAACTGACTCATGAATTCAACTATTAAACGTAAATTATTGCAAATAACTTTACTCCAAACTATGATTGGTTTCACTTTCTTATAGCCACTATATATGATGGTTTAATATTGGACAAAAAGTTTTATTTCACAACTTATACTAGTCTGTACAATAAATCACACTTGTGTTTACATTTTCTATAATATCATTAGCTAGCTAGTTTTCCTGAACCCTTAGTTAAGTGGATAACGCGATGGCGTTTGAAGCGAATGGTACTGAGTTCGAGTCCCAGAGTGAACATCAACTCTGAGATGCAGGTACATCCAGCTGACGAGTCCCAAACAGGACGAAACGCGCGCCCTGGATTCCACTGCTAGCCACTATCCATCTTTGCTTATAATGCTTGTAAATTAAGGCAATATCGAGGCATACGCACAGTATGCACATATGCCAATAAGAGACTGATCAATTTCAGTCGAAAAACATCAATGGGAAGATTCAAGTAAAACAATATCAAATGAACTTAGTTTTTTTGTTTTAAAAAGGATGTGAATTCATTAATTCTACAAAGTAACAATATTATAAATCTTATCCTAGTTTCAATTCACACAAATAGATTCACTTTTTATTTTATCGTTTTAATCGTGGATGCGCACTGCTAAGAAGTCGCACAATAGGACGAAACGGCCGTTCAATGCTTTTAGGTTTCACATAGTGATCTAGCTTCAACTTACTCATGATCTCAACTATTAAAAGAATAATTTTTCATACTGGAAATATTGTGTAGAAAATAAATTTTAAAAAATGATAATAGTTTTCAAAAGATTTTCAGTAGTAATGATGATCATGTCTCAATAAATAACAAACTATCAATATACATAATAGAAATTGTAATTATTAATTCAAATGTCAAAAATAA